CTGGCAAAGAATAAGTAAAACTGTATCTGCAGATAACAGGACTGAATTATAGAAAATCCAAAGAAATCTACAAAGGATCGGAACTAATAATGGGTTCAGCAAAGCTACAGGATAAAACACCACTATCTAAAATTGTATGGTATTTTATTCACTACCAATAAGTATACAAATTATATACTAAAAATTATAAAATTTTGCTGAAAGGAACTGAAAGAAACTTACATATTGCTTATAAGAAATTTATTTATTTTTTTGAAAAACAGGAGCTAAAACCATTCAATAAGGAAAGAACAGGCTTCAACAAATCTTGACAAGCAAACTCTACATTCACAGGAAAAGAATGAAGGTATAGCCCTACCCACATCCTACGAAAATGAAACCAAAATGGATCAACACCTAAATTTAAGAGCTAACACTATAAAAATAGTAGGAGAAAACATAAATGCAAATCCTCATGATTCTGCATTAGGCAAAGTTTCCTAAGACTAAAAGTAACAAAAGAAAAAAGTGTGATTTGGACTTTGATGTTTCAAGGGAAATTATTAAGAAATTAAAATATGGAGCTGGAGAGAGGCTCAGAGGTTAAGAGCACTGGCGGCTCTTCCAGAGGGCCTGAGTTCAATACCCAGCACCCACATGGTGGTTCAGAACCTATAGTGGCATTTGAGGCCCTCCTCTGGTATAAAGGAATACATTCAGACAAGCGTACTCATATAATTAAATAAATCTTAGCTGGATGTAGTGGTGCACACCTTTAATTCTACAAAGTGAGTTCCAGGACAGTCAGAGCTGTTACACAGAGAAACCTTGTCTTGGAAAAAAAAAAAATTGTTTTAAAAGGAAATTAAAATAAAGCCAACGTAATGGGAGAAAAAACTGCAAGCCCTATACGCACAGAGGACTTCTATGCAGAACACTTCAAAGGGAACTAAAAGACAACTAAAAGTGGGCAAATCACCTAAACAAACATTTCCCCAAAGATGTAGAAATGGCTAGTAAACACATAAACACTGTTTAACTTCCTCAATCACTAGGAAATGTAAACCAAAGCCATAGTAATATAGGATATCTATAATTAAGAATATTGTAACAACACCCCTGATGAGGAATAACAGGATTAGTGGTGGTGGAGAAACTGGAAACCCCATATACTGCTGGTGGGAAACAGAAAATAATAGCTATGCTGGAAACTAATTTGTCAATTCCTTAAAGTGTAAATATACTTATCATATAGCTGAGCAACTCCACTCTTAGTATGAAATGAAACTTTATGGGCACTCAAACTTCTAGTGTTAATCACATCAGTTTTATTCATAACAGCAAAAGTAGATACACCCCAAATGTTTCTCTGCGATGAGCATGTTCATGTAAGAATATTTACCAACCAAAAGAAACTAGCAGGGTGGGGTGTGCTCAGTGCAGCCTGAGACTCAAAAGGGCCTTGGTCACTGCGGGTGGGGTGCGGAATGGGGAACCAAAACAGTAACAAAAACAAAACCACAGAATTGATGCTTACTACACCATGGACAAACTTTGAAAGCACTATGGAAGTGAAAGGAGCCAGACAATTAAAAAAAAAAAGTCACAAGTGGAATGATTTTATTTATGTGACAAATCCAGAACAAACAAAACACACTGTGACTTAAGGAGCCTGGGCACTGAGGAAGAGTGGGAAGTGATTATTTGTGGGTACAGGGTTTCTTTATAGGATGATGAAAGTGTTTTATAACTCGATAGTGGTGACAACAACATAATGTAAGTACATGAAAAACCAGGCATCCTGTGTTTTCAACAGGTAGATTTTGTGGTGTGTGATTGTGGCCTGGGGAAGAGATGGTAACGCGGGGGCTCTTCTCTGCACCCAGACTGTTGGCAAACTTGTTGCTCTCCTAGGTCTGGCTACTGAGTGTTGGGGTTACAGACACATGCTACTAACTCTGGCGAAATTTACGATGAGTTAATATTTCAAATGGCATGTTATACATGACCGAAAGCTTATTAGCACTGTGCTGTTGAGTGCTTGGGGTAAAAATACATCAATGTAGTTTTGTTGAAATATAAACAGGCACAACTTTTTGAAGAACAATTTAAGCAAAGTGGGCCTATGTGGCCAACTGAAAGCAAATCCTTAGGCACTCGGTCATTCTGGGCTTCCAGGACCAGGAACACTGTATACATGCTGTTGCATTATCTTTGCAGGGGAGAGTGCAATGTGTGATCTGACTGTAGAGTCTCACTTACTACATAGTTATGGAGATGTGGTGGCCTCCAAAGGCTCATGAATGCTTGGACCCCAGTTGGTGGAACTGCTTGGGAAGGATTAGAAGGTGGGGCCTTGTTAGAAGAGGTGTGTCACTAGGAATGGGTTTAGAGGTTTCAAAAGCCCGGGCCACGTCCAGTTAGCTGTCTCTCTGTTCCTTGTGATTGTTGTCTTACCCTGTAAGCACCCAGCTACTATAGTGTCACCCCCATCTCCCAATCATGACGGTCATGGACTAACAGCAAACACTTTCTTCTAGAAGTTGCTTTGGTCACGGTGTCTCTTCACAGCAATAGAAAAGTAATTGAGACAGATGAATTGGTGTTATTGTTTTGTGTGCATGTTCACGTGTATGTAGGTATACGTCGGTGTGAGTTTGTGGAGGTCAGAGGACTATCCTGGGTGGTGGTCTTCAGATGCTGTCTGCCTGGATTTTTCCCCCCTCTTTTTATTTAAAATTTATTTCTTTATAAATTTATTAATTTTTTTTTATTCTTACATACCAACCACAGTCCCCCTTCCCATCCCTCCTTCTGCTCCCCACCCTGCCCCACATCCACTCCTTAGAAAAGGTAAGGCCTCCCATGGGGAGTCAGCAAAGCCTGGTACATTCAGTTGAGGCAGGTCCAAGCCCCTCCTGACTGCATCAAGGCTGAGCAAGGTGGTCCATCATAGAGAATAGGCTCCAAAAAGCCAGCTCATACACCAGGGGTAGGTCCTGATACACCTGCCAGGGGTCCCTCAAACAGACCAAGCTACACAACTGTCTCCCACATGCAGAGGGCCTAGTTCGGTCCCACGTAGGCTCCACAGCTATCTGACTAAATTTTGGAGATAAGATGGTTTACTGGCCTGGAACTCACCAAGTTAAGTCTCAGGGATCCACCTATCTCTCTGCCTCTCCAGGGCTGGGATTACAAACACCGGCCACCAGACCTGGTTTGTTGTTATTGTTTGTTTTTTTGAGATAGGGTCTCAATGTGTTGAACTAGTTGGTTTAGAATTCTCTACAGAGACCACTGTAGCCCAGGGTAGCCTCAAATTCACAATCTTCCCATCTCAGTCTTGAGTGCTAAAATGACAGATGTGGGCTACCACATCTAGCAACTACTAGTATATTGTCTTAATAATGAATAAATTACATTTTGTCTAGACTTTCTATCAAATCTCAAGTCATACGGATTGTCTAGAAGGCCCCACCCCCGTCTCCCCAGCAAAGATATAAATGTTAGAAACAGTCTCTAGAGTGCAATGTTCTTTTCACGTAGTCACTATCACTGTGAGAGGTAACACTGACGGAAAGAAGACTTTTGAAAAGTGATCAACAGCTCTTTGGGGCCGGCATCAAGTCTCTTTCTTTCAAAACCCCCAAGTATGCCACACACCACTATTTATATGAAGACAGAATAAGACGTTTGTTGAATAGACTGAAAACTAACTGTGGATTTTTATTTTATTTTATTTTTTTTTTTTTTGGTTTTTCGAGACAGGGTTTCTCTATATAGCTTTGTGCCTTTCCTGGAGCTCACTTGGTAGCCCAGGCTGGCCTCGAACTCACAGAGATCCGCCTGCCTCTGCCTCCCGAGTGCTGGGATTAAAGGCGTGAGCCGCCAACGCCCGGCCTAACTGTGGATTTTTAAAAAGTGGGTAAAGGGTTTCCTAAGTTTATAAAACGACACAGCATTAAAGACGAGCCCGGCTGGAAGCAGAGCACTACTTCTAGTTAATGCACAGGCACCAAGCTCTGCCTCCAAAGCCATTTGTCTTCCAAATCAAAGTCTTAGATCATACTATTGCTCTGGCTTTGATCTGGAAAGGGGAAATTTTTTTTTTTTAAAAAGTAAGTTTACAGAAAAAAACTAAAACTAGAGTTAAAACTATTTCTTCAAATACACAGAAACCAGTTTACTAAAAAACTGATCATGTAATTAAAATTCTAAAATTACTGTGATTATGCAAGCATTATGTAAGTAACTACACAAAATTATTATGAGTTGGGTTAGAGAGATGGCTTAGCAGTTAAGATAGCTGGCTACTCTTCCAGAAGATCTGGGTTCAATTCCCAGCACCCACATGGAGCTGGCTGGCTACTCTTCCAGAAGATATGGATTCAATTCCCAGCACCCACATGGAGGCTTGCAACTATCTGTAATTCCAGCCCCTTGGAGCCCTCTTGTGGCCTCTGTGGGCACTACACACATACATTGCACAGACATGTATCTAGTCAAATACTCATACACATGAAATAAAAATAAATATAAACCACCCTCTAAATTATTGAGTATGTAAAAGCATTTAGTGAAAGTTATTTATAAACTCAAAATTAAAACATAAATTTCTATTTTACCATTTCTGCTTTGTGTAAATCCTAAAACAAGTTAGTATTGCTTCATTTACTATAGCAACTCAACCAGATGATAGTATGATTCTATTTACTATCAATGATAGGTATATTGTATACTAGTAGAAACAAAACTTTTTTGAGACAGGGTCTCATGTAGCCCAGGCTGGCCTTAGACTCACTATGTAACCCAGGCTATCCTTGCACTCCTGATCATCTGTCTGCCCCTGCTTACCAAAGGCCAGCATTAGAAGTGTATACCATCATGATCAGGTTTGCAGTATATAAAGTCTTAAGTAGAATTCATTACAGAAAATAATGCTGTGGCCTTTTTGACTACATCAAATTGAACAACAAAAAAGGCAGAATTAGTTAACTTTGGTGATGAACAGAACTTACGTAAGTTGGTGTCTCCAAGCTGTCTGTGTTGACCAGCACTGGAGGAGGATTTGCCTGTAAAGAAAGAGTTGTAAAGTGTTAGTCTAACAAGGAAACCAACAAGCTCCAGTATCACGTTCCAAGTAATAACAGCTTAACAGACTGGCTGTGAATCTTTTATTTAAGCAGGGTATGGCTCTGTAGCACAGTCTGGGTTTGAACTTGTGATACTGCTGATGCAGCCTCCCAGGTGCTGAATTTTACTGGCTTGCTATTTCTAAAGTTATTATGTTATTTGAGCTTTTTATATATTAAACAACGCATTCAGGTGAGATATATTGAACAATACAGCCAAGTGAGGGAAAACGAGATCGAAACAGCTGTAACTAGGTTTGCTATTGTTCCCCTTTTTCTATCTTCTTGTGTTTACGCACATGTTGTATATGTGTGACACACGTGTGAACACGTACACATGGAGACCTGAAGTTAATGTCTGGATCATCCTCCACTGCTATCCCACCTCACTCTTCAAGGCACGCTCTCTTACAGACCCAGACTCTAGTTCTACTCTTGCATGGCAAGTACTTTAACCACAGAGTCGCCTCTACAGCCCCAAGTCTCTATTTCTATGAAAACAGGTTCAAATATGAGATTTGAAAAGAAGCCCACCACAGTCTTCTCTAACCCAAGTGGCATTCTTTAGTAAAACAAACAAAACTACTTTGTGAAGAAACCAGTTATTTATTTCCAAGGATCCCACAAACATTCCAATCATTTTATCAATCTAGGAAAAAAATTCTGCCAATAATGAATTATTTGAATGTTGAAAAAAAGAGTCCCCTCAAACATACACAAAACTATCTGCCACACAGAAAATCAGTCACAAATTAGGAGAAACAGACTATTTCTCCATGTAAAGACCTAGATTATTTTGGTTTTTGCTGTTTTTCTAGACCATCCACAAAATAATGTGTTACAACATGCAGAACAAACACTGAGCATCTAGTAACTCTAAAAGGAAAAAGAAAAACAACCTGATTTCTTGTTAAATTCAAGTTCTTTTCTACATGGATGATACTAAGGAACAAAAATCGATTATCAAATGAAAAACATACCAGAAATGATCAATTCTTCTTAACATTATTTTTTCAAAATGTTTTAAGATTTCTTTGTAAGAGTGCTAAATCAAACACTAATATGAAGGATTACTGTCCTTTAAACAAACTTTCAGAGAGAGATACTAATATGGTGACATTAATTCTTTAAAGAAGTACACAGCAGCCGGGCGGCAGTGGCGCACACCTTTAATCCCAGCACTCAGGAGGCAGAGGCAGGGGAATCTCTGTGAGTTTGAGGCCAGCCTGGTCTACAGAGTTTCAGCACAGCCAGGCTACAGAGAAACCTTGTTTAAAAAAAAAAAAAAAATTACGTAGCAAAGTTGTATAAAAGCACATTGTAACACAAGACAGTTTTCTTCTAAATATACAAACTGGCTTTTTATTTATGTACTTTTTGTTGTTTTGAGGCAGAGTCTCATAGTACAGCCCAAGATCTGGAATTCTTTATGTAGCCCAGGCTGGCCTTAAACTCACAGCAATGCTCCTGCCTCAGCCTTCCAAATGCTAAGATCACAAGCATAAACCACCATGTCCAACTTTGTGTAGGTTACTTTAAAATGTGAATATGTAAGCCAGTAGGGAGACACATGCTTGCAATCCCCCACAAGGCTGAGGTGGAGAATCTCAAGTTCATGAACAGCTTGAGTTACAAACAGAATTCAAATGATACATTACTGTCAGTCAAATACTATCCCAACGATCATTTGAGAAAATGGGTAAGCACAACAATTTCAGTTTGGGCTACATGTATAAGAGGAGTAGTTTAAAATCAATCAGTAGTATTTAATTATCTACAAAGACAACATGAACTCCTCCTACATGTTCAACCCTATTTAAGTAGTCTATCGGTGATGTAGTGACATCAAACATGATAAACTACTACTAAGCAAAACTTACAGACATCTGGGATTTTACAGACAGTTGAAATGACTCATTTCTTTCTTTCTTTTTTTAAAGATTTATTTATTTATTATGTATACAGTGTTCTGTCTGCATGTATGCCTGCAGACCAGAAGAGGGCATCAGATCTCATTACAGATGGTGGTGAGCCACCATGTGGTTGCTGGGAATTGAACTCAGGACCTCTGGAAGAGCAGCCAGTGCTCTTAACCGCTGAGCCATCTCCTCAGCCTATGACTCATTTCTTAGTGGCAAAATGAGATTGGTAATCTTTACCTTACTCACGATAGAGCTTCACTGTATTCTGCCTAAGCAATTTTAGAGAAGAAAAGGCTATTTAAAGTTTAAAATAAATTATATTCTTCACCCACTGTGAAAGGAAATCATTTGGTTCCCTTGACTCATCTGTATCAATCATGCAATGGGTAGGTGTTTACGGAAACCTAATTTACATAATTTATTAATATATTAACCATAATTATTAAAATGTTTCCTGTCAGAAACAATCATCATTGTTGATGCTTTGTTTTTTATTCTAGTAATTTATAATACTGAAATATGTATATAAAACAATACAATCTTCTATTTACTTAAAACTTAAATAATGCAGAATAAGTTGTCTATAGATATTGGTAAAATTTAGAGTGACCATACCTAAAGGGAAACCTTAAGAAACATGAAACTGGAGAAAAAATCATGAATATTCACAGTAAGAATTAAAAATTTAAATCAAACTAGCAGCTGGTAGATAAATCTATCATGACAGAAGAAACCCTAGCAATTTAAAATGCATTGTGACAGAGAAAGACCTTGGAACATTCAGCATTAAATAGGATATCTCCATCGAATCTCTCCCTTCAGGGCTCAGAGAATCCCACAGAAGAGGAGGCAGAAAGAGCAGAAGAGCCTGAGGAGATGGAGGACACCATGAACAAGACCCTCAGAATCACCATGATCAAGCTCACACGGACTCAGAAGCTGAGACAGGCTGTACCAGCATGCAGAGGCCTCTGCTCCCTGTATGTGTTACGGCTTCCAGGGCAGTGTTTCGCTGGGATTTTGGAGTGGGTGAAGGAGCGGGGCTGACTCTTCTGCCTTCTCTTGGGCTCTTTTCTTTTCTTTTTTCTTGGCCAATTCTAATGAGTTAGTTTTTGTTTGATCATATTATATTTTATCATTAAACACGTAATTATAAAAAAGAAAAATATCATAAAAGGTCATTGGAAATAAGTTACAGACATAAAGCTCAAGTAGCAAAATGGACTGATTACCTCAAGTGTAGGCACCTAACGTAACAGTAAAACATCCAAGTGATATCAGGAAGTAGGAAATGAAAACATCTATGGATATATAAATTATGTACCAATTTAAAATTTTCTCTCAAGATGGTATTTGTTGAGATAGTATTTTATATTTCTCCAATTTGCAGTAACAGGAATGAATGGAGGAACACAATTTGCGTGGACATTGAAGATAAAAACACAATACAGATAGATACAATCTCATAGCACCAAACTAAACGCTACCAGCAAAAATAAAGGACAGGCCACTCTGACAGAAGGCAGCAAGTGTAGCTACAGAAAATAAACTAGTTTTACACAGTTGCACTAAACATCTAAAGTAAATTTCACACAGATTCTTTTGAGTGCTTAGTGCTTCCCTGTAAGCAAGGTCACTCATTCCAAGTTACCTCTTGTCCCATTAAGGTTTTCAAGGTCTTATGTTGGCCAGAGTAGCCCCTACTTTCTGTTTTCTTATTATCTTAGGTGGGAAAAGAAAAACTCACTTCCTACATCTCACTCCAAAAGACACTATGTCAAGACCTGGTCCAAGATCTCTATCTCATAGTTATTCTGTGATATTTGACTATAGTAATCCAAATGAACATTCAAACTTTTTATCCAAGAGGACTATATGAGAAGTAATATAAAGAAAACATGTCATGAACAGTAGAAAGTTACACACATGCTTATCTATTGTTGTTTATTAACGAATATAGCAACGTATGTGTTTTCACTTGACAAGAAAGCCCTATAAATCACTTAGAGGCTAGGGGAAGGGATAGTACAAAGGCAGAGATATTCCAGAGAAAACCAAATGGACGAGCCAGTAACCAATCGGACCTGTTAATAGTAACAGTTAGAGAGTTCATTTTACTGATCTATTTCATCATCAATCAAGTCTCTGGTAGTGATTGCTGCTATACCAAATTACAAAAATTCAGACAGAACTCCTAACTGATTAATAATGATGATACACAGTAAGAGAAGCTAAAAAGTGGACGGAGTTAAGTACAAGTATTAACAACTAGAGGATCTAGGTAAAAGGATAAAACATCTTTGTACATCTTGCAACTTTATAAACCTGAAGTGATTTTAAAATACAGACCAATATAAAAACTAAAATCTAGAAAGCAATAAAGGAACTTCAGTCAAGTGTCAGTATACAATTACAAAAAAAATTAATCCAGATAATCGCATAGATGCTATTTCATTTAAGATTACTCATAAAATGAAAACTTATCCAGTCAGACAATACTACTGATACAATAATTTAAGACTCAATACTCTTATATCGCAAAATTTGAAAAGTTCAGAGGTCATTATACCTCTAAGGTAATGACTCTCATTCAATAATAAAATTAACTGCTAACTTTTCTCCTGTCGAGTTACAGGCTCTTCCAGGAAGTCATATATAATATTACTATATTTGTAAGTCCCCCTGATCCACAGGGCATATCTCTCAAGATGTTGCACAGGTATTTAAAATAATCGGGTAGTAGTACCGTACCGAACCGTGAGTGTGTGTGTGTGTGTACACCCACGATAACGTTTAATTTATAAATTAGTCATAGAAATAGATTAACAGTAATTAGTAAGAAAATAAAACAACTTACAACATTATCTCATAATAAAACTTATTTAAAGTTTATGTGTCAATGGCTTCTAGAATTTTCTACTTAAGCCAAATCTCAGATGGGGAAGGATATTAACACATATGATTGGAACAATTACAACAACAAAAAAAGAATAAAACCAGCTTATTGTGAAGTGTGTGTTTGAGTATCAAAAGAGCTCCTCCACCAAGCACACCTCAAGCATGGAAGGGGAAAGGAGGGAAGAGAGTGGGAGGGGAGTGGAGGGGGAGGAAGGGGTTGAGGGGGAGGGGGGGAGAGAAAGACCGAGACCATCCAAGAGTGCACTAGAACTTTAATCACAGAATAGTGCTTCAGGCTGACATGAGCAAGTCTAAAGCATCCACTGAGTGCAGAACACACCTCTGGATTATAAAGCTAGAACCATATAGACGAGTGGCTGCATCCCTAGCAGAAAGAGTAACATATCATCACATGCTTGATTTTCAAGTGGAAAACTAGAGCTCTGAAAAATTGAGCAATTTCTTGCACTATCACGTCTAGAAATGAGTGTGACAAAGTAGTGGTGGGTTTAGGTCAGACTATTAAGTTCATGACGTTTCATTAATTTTAGGGAGCCATTCAATGTATCTTGCCCTGTACCATTTGTAGTCAGCTTAAATGAAGTTCAAATGATATGATCAATATAAAAGCACTTTGTAAAAAGGAAAAACAATATAAGGTGTTTTTGTTTTTTGTGTTTCTGGCCCGTGTGAAACTTACTATGTAGACCAGGCTGGTTTTGAGCTCACAGGGATCTGCCTATCTCTGCCCCCTCCTCTGCTTTAATGGTAGTATTCAAGGAATGCACCATGGTGTCTGACAGTCTTAAAAAATTATCCATCTATGTACCTTTCTTTCTTTGGGGGTTATTTGCCTGATCCTCAAACTTACTGGGAATGGGGTGGTATAATCTCTCCCTTACAGATAAGGGGAATACAGCATTTAGGAAGTGTAACCTGTTTGTGTGACAATGACAGGACTAAACTCCGAATCTTTTACCTTCCGCTTCTGTGCTGAATAGTTTTATGTCAATATGACACAAATTAAAGTCATCTGAGAGAAAGGAATATCATTGAGAAAATGCCTCCATAAGAAGGAGTTGTAGGAAACCCTGAACGGCATTTTCTTAATTAGTGATTGATGCAAGGGTCCCCTGGATGGGCGGGGCCATCCCTGGGCTGGTGGTCCCGGGTTCTATAAGAACACAGGACGGGAGAGGCACAGGCAACAAGCCAGTAAGCAGCACCCTCCAAGGCCTCTGCACCCGTTTAACTGCCTCCAGCTTCCTGCTGTGTGAGTTCCTGCCCCGACTTCTTTCAGGGATGGACTATGATGTGGATGTGTAAGCCAAATAAACCCTTCCCAACTTGCCTTTGGTTACGGTGTTTAATCACAGTAATAGCAGCCCTGACTTCTATTTCTTTACATCCTGATTCCTCTAAAAATAAAGTACAATTTAAATGGTCAAGCCTGAGTTCTAAATTCTTTTAAAGATTTATTTTTTTATATTAAATTTTTAAAGTACCTAAATTTTTTCACACAATCGATTTTGGTCATATTCTTCCCCCTCCCCAAGTTCTTCTTCCAGACCCTCCTCACCTTCCTACCTACCCAACTCCATGCGTTTTTCCCTTTCTCTCAAAATAAACGAAACAGAAGAGAATTAAAAACAACAAAAACAAAACAAAAAAAAAACCCCAACAACCCCAGAAAACAAAATAAAGACCCAAAAGACAGAAAAAAAAAAAAAAAAAAAAAAAAAAAAAAAAAAAAAAAAAAAAAAAAAAAAAAAAAAAACCAACCAAACAAAAACCAAATCAGCCGGGCGGTGGCGGCGCACGCCTTTAATCCCAGCACTCGGGAGGCAGAGGCAGGCGGATCTCTGTGAGTTCCAGGCTAGCCTGGGCTACAAAGTGAGTTCCAGGAAAGGCGCAAAGCTACACAGGAAAAACCTGTCTCGAAAAAACGGAAAAAAAAAAAAATCAAACAAAAACCAGTCAACTGTAACAACAAAAATCAATGGAGACCATTTTGTGTTAGTCAACTACTTCTGAGCATGGGACCTACCCTGGAGCGTGGTTAATATATCCAGTGTCACTACACTGGAGAAAACTCATTTTCTCTCTCCCAGCAGGTCTCAAATGCAAACAGCTTCTTGGCCAGGGGTGGGACCGCATGTCTACTTACTTCCCCTTCTCTCTGCTGGGATTCCGTCTGACCTGAATTTGTACAAGAAGTCACAGTCTCTGAATTCCTATGTGCAGCAGCCCTACTGTGTCGAGAAGACTGCCCTAGTCATCCATCATGTCTAGCTTTCACAATTTTCTGCCTCTTCTTCGGCCCTGATCCCTGAGCCTCAAGGGGAGGAGGGTTGGATGAAGACATCCCATTGAGGGCTGAGTGCCTCACGGTCTCTGTCTGCACACTGTCCAGTTGTGGTTCTCTGTGCTAAATCTCATTTGCAAGTCTCTGATGAAGGTTAAACAATGAAGATTTAATTTGTTTTTTTAAAGTGTGTATATTTGTGAATCAGGTGCCTGTAGAGGCTAAAGAAAGTGTCAGACCCCCTAGAGCTGGAGTAAAAGGAGGATGTGAGTCACCTGACCTCAGTGCTGGGAACTGAACTTGGGTCTTCAATAAGAGCAGTACCTGCTTTTAACTGTTGAGCCAGCTTTTCAGCCCAAGTTACATATCCCTTAAAAGAATATGTTTCAGAATTTATCTGGGGACAAACATTTAAGTTCTATTAATTTTACAATAAACATGTTATACTTAATAATGAGACAATCTCACCATCTTTTCTCATAGTATAGAGCATGTATCACCATCATCACCTAAGGATATCAATATTGGTTACAACTGAGGATATGGCTTTTCTTATACGTGCAGCATCGCTGACTTTGTTTGCTTGTGCTTTGAGACATAGTCTCTACGTAGGCCTGGCTGTCCTGGATCTCACTCTGTAGACCACATTGGCCATGAACTCAGAGATCCACCTGCCTCTGCCTCCCCAGTGCTGGGATTTAAGGTGTGAGTCACCACACCTGGCCACTCACTGACTTTTAAATTTATTCATTTGTTCTCTCCCTCCCTCCCTC